CAGTCTCACCAGGCTCAGCCTCTTTGCCCCAAGACTGCTACACACCTAACTGGTCTGTCTGCTACCATTATCACATTGGTCTATAGCATTGTTCTACCTGTGTGGCTAGCTGTTCACTTCCTTATGTTCACTTGGGATAGCTACTCAGGTTCATTGCCGCAAACCATCTTCAGCAGCATCTGTCCAACACACTTGAGTGGCAGCAAACCTGGATCAATGTGGGCAGACTGACCATGTTCCAGGAACTCCCAGGCACCAGCTTGTCATCAGACAGGACTCCAGGTGGCTGATGGAGGCCAGTGTGAGGTTTGCCCCACACTGATTCACTCTGTGTTGGTCATGCCGACAATCTCATGCATTTTGTTTTGAGTCCTTTTTCATTTTAGCTTATTTAGGATTTTCTACAATGTTTGGCATGCTTGTCTTCCCAATGTGATAGTTATCTTTCAGTCTCAATGTCCTTCTTTATAAGATGGAGATCACGCCAGTACCTACCTCACCAGGCTATACCTGGGATGAACTGAGATAATTTATGCAAACTGTTTCGCATACTGCATTAGTTTGCTTGGCTACCAAAACAAAACACCACAGACTACATGGCTTAACATAAATTGATTTTTTTTCTTTTTTATATATGTTTTCATTGGTTTTTAGAGAGAGAAGAAGGAACAGAGAGAGAAACATCAATGTAAGAGAAAAATATCAAGCAGCTGCCTCCTGCACGCCCCCTACTGGGGATGGAGCCCGCAACCCGAGCAAGTGCCCTGACCCAGAATCAAACCGAGACCTCTCAGTCCATGGGACGACACTCAATCCACCAAGCCACACCAGCCAGGCCAGATTTTCTCACTATTCTAGAAGTCCCAGATCAAGGGGTCAGCAGGCTTGGTTTATTCTGAGGCCTCTCTCCTTAGCCTGCAGATGCTCACCTCCTCTCTGTGTCCTCACATGGTCGCCCGTCGGTCTCTGTGTATGTGTCCTAATCTCCTCTTATGATAAGGAAACTGATCATATTAGATGAGGGCCCACAGGTTGTACCTCATTTGACCTTAATTACCTTTGTAAGGGCTCTGTCTCCAGATATAGTCATACTCCAAGGTACTGGGGGTTAGGACTTCAACATATAAATTTTGGGAAAACACGATTCAGCTCATAACACATAATAAGCATTTCTGCTGTGATACTAATCAAAACTTGCTTTGTCAGCTATATCAATGTCTTTATTACTAAATTGGTAAGTGCTGTGAGCTTACAGAAGGTCTTTTTTCTCCTCTCAGTGATGATCCTCAAAGCCCTATCTGGTCCTCGGCTACCACTGCAGCATCACCTCCTGCCTCCTTCCACACTGGCCTCCTTTCCACATCGGTCATGGCCTCTGGTCCCCTCAGGGATTTGCTCCTCTAGTTGGAGAGCACTGCCCTCCTCTGAGCTCACTCGCCTCTGCTGGCCCCTTCTATGCCCTATATCTATAGCTGTCTTCCCCACCAGGCTGTTTGCTGCACTCCTGAGCAAGGACTCTTACCTGCTGGTTCCCTGATGTCCCCCAGTCCCCAACACAGTTCCTGACCCTTAGTCAAAACTCGTTCGAGAACACTGCCAGGGTCAGCGATGACCCTGAGCTGTGCCTTGCTTTGTTTTATTATAATAAACAATAACAATGGGAAACCTGGTGATATTTGCTACATTTAGATAAATATGATTGAGACTCCCATCTATCCACAATTTCATGTGTTATTGCTAATTTATCAAGGCAATGGGTCAGGGGTGAAATGGTAAAATGTTATCAACAGTGCTCCAAGGACCAGTCTAACAAAGAATGGAGGATTAACACCTTTTACAAGGAATGCTTTCTAAAGCCTTTGAAATTGAAATCCTGGAGCTGCTCAGGTTTCTAGAGCACCACAAACTCTTTTACCTTTTACCCCAAATGGGCTAGACAAGATTCAGAAGTGGCCCACACAGTGTTCAGACCTCCACAAGTAAGATCTTTTATTTTTTTCCAGTGTCCAACCATTCCAAGAAAGTCCACGACTGCTCCCATGGGGGTAGACACAAAGGGCTTGTCCCACATCCACAGCAGGCCCTGCTGGCCCAACCTGGAAGCTGCGTCCCAAGAGAAAGACATTCTGACTCTTCATGTTACCTCCCAGGGGACAGACATGTTGGCCCATGGGAATCTGATCATCATTCCTTTTTTTTTAATATTTTTTCTTTATTGATTTTAGAGAGAGAGGAAAGGAGAGGGAGAGATAAAAACATCCATGAGAGAGGACATCGATTGGCCACCTCCGGCATGCCCCCTCTGGGGATCGGGCCTACAACCTGGGCATGTGCCCTGACTAGGAATCAAACTGGCGACCTCTTGGTACAGGGGTCGACGCTCAACCAGTGAGCCACACCAGCCAGGCTGATCATAATTCTATTACCCTATCTGGGGTGGGTACAGTAATAGTTTTCCTCTAATTGGACTCAAAATATCCTGGGTTTACTGTTGAGTTGAAGCTACTGGTTTTTATTCATGAACAAAGTAATATGTGAGCAGTTGTTCCACCCTTTTGGTCTCCTTGTTAAAAGTAAGGCTACAAAAAGTAAAGCCAAAAGCAAACAGCAGAAAGGTATAAACAGCCACTGTGCTCAGTGACAGGAAAGAGCTTAGCATGACTAAAGGAGAAAATATAACAGGTAAACTTCCTCCTAACACTTTCTGTGCACCGGGAACCAATTCCTCGAAATATCCATACTCAGCACAGCCTTTTTCTAATGCTTATACTAGCTTCAGACATGGGAGAAAAACAGTCTTTGGACTTCCCCAGGGAATTCCAAGTTCTGCATAGGTCACAGCTTACAGATACAACAGTCTGTGTGCTTCAGTATTTGTTTCTGTTTTTCCTAAATAAAGCAAGCACAGAAATCCACATTTGCAGCATTGATGGTAATTTATTATGGCTGTTAAAATCCTTTCAACATCAGCCTCAGATTAGGAACATTAAACTGCCACTTGGTGAGGGTTAGGAAAATGATTGTGTGTGACAAACAGTACTATAGAATACTTTGTTTCATTCTTACTGCTCTTCACCCTGATCTGGGCATGCTCGCTTACCGGCTTCTGCTTCCAATGTATGCAAAATAGGGCTGCTCGCTTAGCTGGGGAGACACATGAATTGTACAATAGTGCTGATAAGGATGTAACCCAGTGCACAAAAAAAACAACCAAAAAAACCCAAAATATTTACCAGATACTAAGTTAGTCTCAGGAAAAGAAAGCTGTGCAAAAATTTAGGGGTATTATTCTTTATCATTTTTGTTACCTACAAAATGTCTATGTGTATATATGTATAATGCATGATTAATATATTGCTAGTTTTATTTAAATATATAACATATTTAAATATATAAATGTTTATATATTTATATGTATATTAATTATGGAAAATCTTTAAATAAATTAAAATAAAATCCTCTCTAATGCCACCAGCCAGAGATAATATCAATGTTTTGGTGTATGTCCTTTTATTTATTATTTTCTATACATATTTACATACCTTTTCTTTGTTTATAGAATTGGAACAATATTGCTTTAGTGGCCTACTTTTTTCATGTATTAATTGTAAACATGTTCCCATGTTGTTAAACAATCTTTTTTTTTGTTTCTGCAAATTCAGTAGGTAAAAAGAGATATATCAATTAAATGTCCTAGATTACTACTGAAGTTAAACAAAAGACATTTGATCATTTTTAATTCTTTAACTTAAACTTGAACAGACCAAAGGAAAAGCAGAAAAAAAGAGCATAGCATTGAAATCTGAAAGCAAGCAAAATTAATAAAACATAAGAACATAGTATAAAGCTAATAGGCATGTTTTATATCTTTATAGGGTAAGACTTGATAAATTTATGTGGGATTATATAATACGTGGATTTTAAATTAAGACATATAATCGTCATGGGTTTACTGGTACTAGAGGTAGCAATTCCATCTGTCATTTCCAGTCACTATTATTGTTGACATCAAATGTGGAGAAGTCACTAAAAAGGCTAAAAAGAACTAACAAGAGCTGTCTTAATGCAACATAAAATAGATATGTTGAAAATTCGAAGTACTTATGCCATACATTATATGAAAATAAGAACATTAATATGTCTAGCATAACAAGATGTTCACAAGAATTAAACAGAAAATTTTGAGCAAGATAAATATCTACAGAGATGAGGAAAACGTTGAAGTATTCCTCACGTAAACTATATACATAGCTCTTAATAAAATATGAATTTATATTAAGTCATGACAGTGCCTATTTTATTGATTACCATAATTGCTATAGTTACATAGCTACAGATAGTGTAGCTAAGTGAAATAGTATAATATTCAATGTCCCTTCAAGGTAAATGCTAAAACAAATACCTGGATTTTTTTTTTTTTTTTTCACTCCACACTATTCATTTTTAAGTAGAGAACGAGAGCGCAAGGCCAATGAGGTGAAAGCTGATTACAATGCTTCGGGTAGTTTCTCACCTGCTGCGCACGGAGGCAAAGGTGAAAGACAGAAGGAAACTACCCAGGGGGCTTTCTCTGCGCACCATCCCTCTCCTCTCTCCCAGGGAACTAAACATTTGCTTTTGTCCACAGCCAAGGGCTAACGAGATCTAGAAACAGCCGAGAAACTTGGCACCAAAGCTCCCGCGCCCCACCTGGACCTCTCTGAGGCTCACTACGGGACAATGAGTTGCTTGAGTCCGGGTCGCTGCCCACCAGAGGCCTTCCCGCAGCCCGAGGAACGGGAAACGGCAGGTTGAAGAGAAAGAGGGAGGGCAGTCCCTGACCCTCTCGCCTCTGCATTTTTGTGGGTGCCCCGCGACATGATTGGCCACCACCCACTAAGAAAAACCTGCAAAACTAAAAAGGCTGAAAAGAACTCTAGCCCTACAACTTCCTGAAAGCGTTTTCAGATACCGCACCCCCACGCCCTGAAGGTGAATTCCAGACGAGAGGCGCGACCCACTCTAGCCCACCGCGTGGACTCCCACGGAGCCCGGAGCGACAGACAGCCCGGCGGCCGCGCATGCGCCGCGGGGACACGCAGGGCGGGGAGCCGCGAGGACGGAGCGCGCACAGTACCGGCTTGTCCATGACGCGACGCGGCGGCGCTTCGCGGGGACACGCCGCGGGTCGTGGCGGCAGATTCCTGGCCTCGCCGCGGTTGCGGTCCTCGGCCCACGCCGCTCCCCCGCGTCCGCTCCGGCCGCACGTCGCCCTGCTCACACGCTGTTTGCGGCTCGCGCGGTTGCCTTGGCGACGAGCAACGCTCCACCTGGACCGGGCTCCTTCCTCCGGCTCCCGGCACTCGAGCGCCTCCCCGGGTCCGCGCCGGATCCACTTCCCCTGCAGCGACCCGGGGGCCGGTCCCAGAGAGCGCAACTTTCAACCCCCACCCCAGCCCCCTCCAGCCCCACCCCGTCCCCAGCCCAGATGCTGTTTCTTGATTGTTTTCCATCAGGTTTCTGTGAGTTCTCAGCAGAATGTCACTTCTAGCATCAGCCAAGTCCATTTGTTTGGAATTTGTCTGAATGTAGGATTTTAGGCTTTTCTGCCTGGAGGAGAAAAAATTAAAATGGAATTTCGAATGTTTCAACTGTAATTCTCACTTCTCACCGTCTTGACTCCTATTTAGGTTCCTCGGGTGCTTCTTTGTCAGCTTAGAATTCAATGGGAATTTTTAACCTTGAGTTTTAACCTGGAGGTGACAAAGGTAATTTCCTAGATTCTGTCCAGCTGTCAGAACAATAGCTGCACTGGCATGTGTGAAGTTCTCAGGAGCTTTGCCTTAAGACTCTCCGAAGGAGAATGTACATATTTCATACCTGCCAACTCTCCTCTCTCACTGGGGCTAGGACTGTCCATTAGAAATATCATCTGTGCCACATGCATATGTTTATATTTTCTAGGAGCCACATTTTAATAAGTAAAAAGAAACAGGTGAAATTAATTTTAATAATATTTTACTTTATCCAGTAAATCTAAAATAATATTTTAACATATTAGCAATATAAAAATTATTCATGAGATAATTTACAATCTTTTATCATACTCATTCTTCAAAATCTTGTGTGTATTTAACACTAACAGCCCATTTCAGTTCTGACTAGCCACATTTCAAATGCTCAGTAGCCAATGTTGCTGGTACCTAAGGCACTGAACAGTTCAGGTCTACTAGGTTACAGACTAGGAGGACCAGCCCCACCTTTCCATGGAAAGGGGAGGATTGCATCTGCTCGTAAGGGCTATTAAATAGCAGATTAACTCATGAACAGTGTTCAAATTCTTACAAGGAAAAAAAAATGCTTACTCGATATAAACTCAATGCTCTTCAGAAAGCAAGAAAATCAGAAATGACTTTTTGTTCTTTTATTAACTAAGAAATTATTTTTAGAGAACTTTTAAATTCACAGCAAATTGAGCAGAAAGAAATGACATTTTAACTATCTGGCTTTGTAGGCATTTGTGAAACTTTGCCTACAAAGGGCATCTTTGCCATGTGGTGCCCTGTGTGCTCACCTAAGAGAATGCTCACCTGGGATTCCAGATAGCGAAGTTCCACCTGCTCCACTCTCTCAGGGAATGCACAGCAGCAGCAGCCTGCCCATCTTAGTAGCATGTTGTCAGAGTTAATGTACATCCCAATAATCACCTTAGAAGAGTTTAAAACCAGGTCCTCAAGAAAAGAGTTATTTTAATAGAAGTGAAAACTCATCTTGGCCAGTGATGACAGCCCCAGGGAGAAAGGATGTCCATAGTGGCTAAGTCTGAGAAAGGAAAATGAGAGCTAACACTTTTCCAGATTATTGTGCATGAATTCATTTTATCTTAAAACACCTTCTAAACTTGGCCACTATTGCATTGCCCCGTTGTTACAGAGGAGACACAGAGAGAGATGAAGTGACTTGAGATGAAGTGGCTTGCCCAAGGCCCCATAACCGGAAGAGTAGAATGAACTTGTGAGCCCTGGCAACTTGTCTCCACCTGGTGACTAAATCCTAGACTATGTTGAGATGACAGAAGGTACAGAAGGCAAAGGGGTGGGAGGAGGAAAGGGCACCTCCAGGGATGATGGCAGACCAACACAGACCTGGCTGATTTTAGAAAGAAAGCCAGGGCTTATATAGTCAGTACAGTCCTATAGTCCCTGGGCTCTGCCATCTTAGGCAAAATTGTGATCTGGACATTTTTGTCTTTGGTCTTCTCTTCCTGCTAAAATTTCTTCTTTGTTCTCAGAAGGATGTCTGTTGTTCCAGAATCCCCAAGCTAGAGCAGATTTTCTTGGGTCTAGGCTTGGTCCCAGACCTTCCCTAGCCATCCTTAACTGTAGGCATCACTCTCAGAAAACCCCCTTCTGGCTTCTTGACAAATATTCTAGATTAATTCCAGCCATTAGTAGGTGTTGGGCAGATAGCTGGTTTAGCCAGCTCTCCAGCCCCACTCACAACTGTACTCTTAAACTTGATTTTCTGGAGATGGAGTCAGCTCAGTGTTATGAACTTTGAATGAGATAACAGGTTGGCACAGAAAATGCTTGAGCTGGCATCTTCTTACATTCCTTAAATCTTGCCTGCTCTGATCATGGCTTGAAATAATCCCACCATTGAAGGAATTGAGCAACCTGTTTTAGGAAAATAGTTCAGTTTCTTTCTTTTCCTAAAAAAAAAAGTGTTAAAGTAAACCTCAAACTAAAACCCCACTTAAATTGGTCTTTCAACAAGAAATTCATCCTTTATGCCTTGGTTGCCCAGCATACCGTGAACACTCAAAAAATAGCACTTGGATTTAAGAAGACCCAATGAATGAACACATGGTGAGTTATTTATTGTCCACCCACGGAGGATCAAAGACATCAAGACTAATTACATAGAATCATAAGATTTCAGATCTGACAATAACCAATGTAGTCTATGATTTCATTTTGTAGAAAAGGTTATCATTTTATGGAAAAGGAAATAAAGACCAGCTCTCCAGAGGCTACTGTTTATTAACAGAGGACTAGAAATCATGTCTTTTAAATTTTTTGTACTGTGTTGTACAATATATTTAAGACGTAGAAATCACACATTTCCTTCTGCAGGTCTGATTTTCAAAATTGCGATGCTTTTCTAATTTTATCAAACATATACATATATTGCTAGATAGAATTTTATTAACTGTTCTACTTCCATAATTTTAGGAGGAAATTTTTGTTTCTTGTCATAAATTGTGGGCTAGGAAGCATCAATAGACAGCAGAAGAATGATCAGTTCAATCAATATTCATTCAAATGATAAAACTTGGCAATGGAAGAAGTCACTGTGTTGGCTAACCCACCCACATTTCAATTTCATTCTTCTATGCCTGTTTCTCATATATACACAGAAAATGGTCATATTTCCCAGATCCCTTGCAGTTATAGGTGGCCATGTGACATGGGTATGGCTGACGAACCACAAAGGGCCATCTATAAGGGCTCCTGAGAATGCATTTACTTCGCTCGTAAAAGACGGCTTCAGCTCTCCCCTCCATCCTTTCTGGAATGAGACCGTGATGCCTGGGCTGTTGCAGCTCTGGAATCATATTATAAAACACAGCCCAGTTATGACTATCCTAGTACATTTGGGCTGCTATAACCAAGTACCCCCGGCTACAAGGCTTACAAACGGAAATTGTTCTCTCACAGTGCTAGAGGCTGCAAGTCCGAGATCAGATGCCAGCACAGTCTTGCTCTGGTGAGGGCTTTCTTCCTGGTTAGACTGCCGACTTCCCATTACATCCTCACTTTGGGAAAGGGAGCTTCCTAGCTTTCTGGCCTCTTCTTATAAGGGCACTAATCCCATTTATGAGGAATCCCCCCTCAAGACCCTCCCAAAGCCCCCATCTTCTAATACCCATTGCACTGGGATTGGGGTTCCAACATATGAATTGGAGGGTGGGGCACAAATATTTGGTTCATTGTAATGACCATGAGGGAAAAGCCCTTTGAATTACAAAAATGAGAACTTTAATATATTTGAGTCTCTGAACCAACAACAACAACTGCCACTTCTAGACCCCCGTGTTATATGGAAATTAAACCCATTCGTTTAGAGCTTTGTAGACTTGTTTTCTGTTCCCTACAGCTGAGAGCACTGTTAAATGTTATGGAAACTGCCAGCCGTTAGGGTTTTTGTAGGTTGATTTTATTTTACAAACACACAAATTATAAATTGGACTGTCACGAAGTACAAGTAACTCACAACCATTCCAGCCTGAAGGCAGGGGGTGGCAGGAGTCAGACCACCCATGAATAAGATCTCCAGTTGGTTTTGTTCCGCTCCACCCAAGTACAGATGCTGGGCAGGTGGCATCTCTTCTGCTCCTCGACTGCCACCATCATCCTGGGTGTCCAGAATCCCCCTCTCTATTTTGGAGGTAGGAGATAAGAGGGCTTAACATGCCCTTGGATGCTAACAGGGATATCTAGGATATGTAGGTAAGATGAACTGAGCAAAACCTCCAGGCACAGGTGGGTGTTAGTCCTGCTGGAAGCGAAACAGGTGCCTGGCAACCAGCCAGCCTTGGGATACTTTTGTCTGATGGTTGTGAGAAGGGCTAATGGAGTGGCTCCTCTCCACAGGCATCGTTCAGAGATGCTCCTTCAAGAGTCTGGGGTGTAGACCAGGCCACTCTGGGCAGATGCCCTTTTCCCTTCAGGTCCTCCATGTTCCACGAGGCCTAAGTGCACCATCTTCAGGGGCCTCCAACCATCTGACTGTTCTGCCTACTTCTCCTGGTCTCACTCAGCTCTGTTTCTCCACCGGTGTGAGCCAGGTGTTCCAGCAGGACTGCTCCATGGCATCTAGGCTGCCACCGTCGTGATGGCTTCCACAGCCTCGCAAGGTACTCTAGTGGACCTTAGTCCTTTTGGAGTGATCCCCATCAAAATTTCCTTCCTATATTTGGAGAATGTCCCACCAAGCAGAGCCCTCCTTCTGATATAGAAACAAAAAGTACCAAATACTCTCCCAGACCCCTTTACTGCTAGGCATCAGCCGTGACTCAGATGTGACCAGTCAAATGCACCCACCTTGGACGTGAACACGGGATGGTAGAGAATGCATTTTGGCAGAGGGTGGCAGCAGCGACTCTGCCTGAGTTTCTGAGGCAGTCAGGGGGTGGGGGGGGGGGGGGGGGGAAGGCCTCCTAAGCTGTGAGCTCAACAGTCAGCCCTGGGGGCAGCAACATCCTCAGACAGGCTGGGTTGTGCCTGGTGTCTGACCTGTTCCCAGCCTGGGTGCTGACAGGCCCTCCTGGCCGTTTTCTAAGCCTCACTGTCCAACTTTCTCAGCTATTCTGAGCTGCCCCATAGTCTTTCCATACATCCCCCCCTCCCCCGCTTTTTGCATACATTTGATACTGCCCCATCCTTTAAGTCCCCTGACAACATTAACATGAGGCAGTCATGTGTGTGAGGTACTGTATTAAATTTAGAAATACTAATAAATAGAGGAATTACATAAGTAAGGAAAGAGAGAATAAAAGTCGCACAGTAAATATAACCTCAGATGGGGGAGCCCAATTTTTAAAAGTT